ACCTCTTGGTGCTTGGGAAGAGGCTCAATCCACTGAGCCACACCAGCCCCACTGACCTAGATTCTTAAACATTAGAGGCCTGGTGCATGAAATTCGTGCATGGGAGGGGGGGTCCTTCAGCCCAGCCTGCACCCTCTCCAATCCGGGATCCCTCTCATAATCTGGAACCACTGGCTCCTAACCGCTCACTTGGTTGCCTGCCTGATGCCCCTAACTGCTCCCCCCTCCTGGCCTGAGCCCCCTAACTGCCTACCTGCTCTCCCTTCCTCTCCGTGACCTTCAGACCCTGGCACAGGTGTGCTGAGAGCTCTCTACCACGGCCCTGCTCCATCCTGATTGGTTGTTACATAACAGTGTACCGGACAATTTGCATATTCCTCTATTATTAGTATAGATTTTTTTTTCATCCAACCCCCAATAGCTCACTCCCTTGTCTTTCAGTTCTAAAGGTGCTAATGACTTTGGCTATCTTTGGTTCTTGATATCCTCTTCTTCCCTTAAACTTGTCCACATCTCTGAAATAGTCCCTTTATAAAACTATCTTAATTTAAATCCTCTTGAACATGCAATGCATTCTGAATGAAGGTTGATGTTAGAAATATTCAGATTTTGCTTAACTATTGACTTGTTTTGGTAAATGCTTTAAAGAGCTAGCTGCTTATCTTCTAAAGTACCATTCCCATCACCTCCTCTACTGTCAACTTCAACTTTGTCTTTGTTTCCTTAACAACTTTTACCTATAATTTATTTTTTTACTTGCTTATTTACAATCTTCTCCAGTAGGCTATAAGTTACATAGGGCAAGAACCATGTTTATTTTTTTTACTATTGTATTCCTTGTGACCAGCATATAAAAGATGCTTAATAAACATTTGCTCAGCCACTTATTCAACAAATATTCAACAAGTACCTACTATGTACCAGGCTCTGTTTAAGATTCTGAAAACAGAAAAAATAAACCAAGTCCCTTCTCTTATGAAACGAATAAATAATTGTATTCCAAATATAGATCTAAGAGCTATTCACAGCCCTTACATGAAGAAAGCATTCTATGGACAATCCAATTTGGGAAACAGTTACACAAAAGTTGTATTGACCTTTTTGTTGAAGGTTTCATCAGTTACTTTAATAAGCAAATGTGAATTCACAGGAGGAGATCGATATATATGCAGTGTTTCATAAGTTCTTTTATCACAGAACCCATCTTTATTAAGTTGAATTTTTAGGGTGACATTGATTAATAAAAATATATAGGTTTCAGGTCTACAATTCTATGATACATCATCTGTATATTGCAGTGTGTGTTCACCACTGCAAGTCAAGTGTCCTTCCATCACCATTTATCCCCACTTTATCCTCTTTTACTTCCCCCACTCCCTTCGCTTCTGGTAGTCACCATACTGTTCAGAACCCACTTTTCAATGAGAAAAGATAAATATTTCAAAATAGGCCATATTTAGAAGGGGGGCATGGCTGTTGTTTTAGATTTTTAAGTGGGTCAGGAAAAATTTTATTAGAGGTACAATTTCCCTCGCTCTTATTCCTCTCCTACTTATTATTCTTTAATCAATTTATTTAAATATACAACACAAATTATTATTATTTAAGAGCAGGTTATGCCTCTTTTAGAAGATATAACACAAATTTAAAGTTTTGCAGTCGATTCATGAGATGATATGTAATTAATAACAGATCTTCAATATAATAGTTTGCTTCTCAAAGGTTGTACGCAATATTGAAAAAATTAACATGATTTCAAATCCATCCATGTTTAATTTAGTTTTATACCAACATAGCCTTAAGCCACCTTACTGATTCACGAGGAGAGACGACTGCACAAACCATATACTTTTTCATTTCCATGTGTTCTTTTTCCCCCCAGAAGTCCTACTTCTACCTCTTAATCTGTGTCTTTGAAAAAAATGTATGATCTCTGAGTCTCAGTCTATGAAATGAGATAATAATAGCTATCTCAAAAGATTATAAAAGATCATATATATAAATCCTCTTATGAGTGGGAGGTTACAGATAAGCTAGGGGAACAGGCTAGCATGATGGATGTGGTAATGGATTAGAGTAGGAGACATCAGTAAGAATGCATGTTTAATTCATATAGATACAGAAGATTAAATATAGAAATATGTATCACAGTGTGTATATATGTGAGTTGGGCTAGTGTATGCACACATACTTCTTTGTTCTGTCAGCTGAGAGGGCTTAGAAGAAATTACACCCTAAACACAATGAGCACATTTAGCACCTAGATCTTGGCTTCTAATGCTATTTTTCATGAAAAAGGAACTAGGGCTCCTTGGAGGGATGGATGATTCTTGGACTGTGGTAAAAAATATACAAGATAAGCCTATCTCATCTTATGGTATTAGAAGGTAGGAATTATTACACACACACACACACACACACACACACACACACACACACACACACACACACACACATTGATGGGATATGTAAGAAGGGCATAGGAGCCAACTGAAAGAACTCCTAATGGCCAAAGCTGGAACAATTTGAGCAAAAAAATAAATATATATCAATTATAACCCAAAGTATAAAATAAATATCCATGACTCCATACTGATGTAAATAAATGACTGAATAAATTAATAAATAGAGGGAAGTAGACAGATCTCCCATGCAGAAGAATTCCAAAGAAATATTGGACATATTCCAATCTAAAGAAAGAGGAGCACAAGTTCCTACTTCTTCAATGTGGGCTGCACATAGTGACTTTCTTCCAAATAGTACCATATAGAAAGGGGTAAAAAATAATAGCTTTATAGTGAAGAAGCCTGACTAACACTACTTTAATCAGGTGATCAAGGTCAACATCAATAGTCATAAGTCATGTTGGTGGTATGTAACCTTAAAATGATATAATGAAAAGGACACTTTACATTTGTAATGTCCCTCAAAAACGTCCCAAACTCACAACATTGCATACTTATTAAAATAGCCAAAATCTAGAACACTAACAATACCAAATTTGGGCAAGGATGTGGGTCCACCATTAACTGGACCCATTTCTTAGGGCAGTCCCCCATTTTTCTTTTCACTCTACTGCTTTTATGACTTCTTTCTACTCCCCAAACTTCATGCAAACTCCTGGTTTGTCTAGCAATCTGGTCTTTTAAGTCTAAATCCCAGGAATAGAGATATAGTTTAGGTTAAAGCTTGAAACCTATCTAGAGTTAGTAATGTACCAAGGATGGGGTAGTGGGAGGGGTCTGCTCTGAATGAAGACAATAAGAGGGAACTAAGTTTAGAGAATGAAAAACAGTAACAAAACTAACTCAAAGTACATCTGCTTTTTATTTTCACCATGCACCAGCACTTTGAAATCATGTCAAGTGATCAAATATTCCTCTTCCCAAAATCTTTTGTTAGTCTAAGTTCTAAACCAGGGGTGAGGAACGGCGGGCCATATAAGGCCTGAGGAATCATTTGGTCTGGCCCTGCCAAGGCATTAGGGATGAGTTAATTAAATGTTTGACCAAATATAGAAGGTTAATTTTTAAGTTGATAATTTCATATGATGTTATAAATATCCAAATTGCCCTCGGTCTCTTTCTAAATAATTTTGTGGTTACACTGTCAGTTTTAATGATAAGCTTCCAATTAGCACATTTTTGCATTCTACATGGATACAAAATTTAATTTGGAATCAGCCTCCAAGACACTCAGACTCAGATGCTTTCTTGTTGTTGCCGTTAATCCTCACCCAAGGATAGTTTTCCATTGATTTTTAGAGAGAGTGGAAGGGGGAGGGGGGAGACAGAGAGAGAAATATTGATGTGAGAGAGATACATCAACTGGTTGCCTCCTGCATGAGCCCCAATCAGGGCTGGGGATTGAGCCTGCAACTGAGGTACATGCCCTTAACTGGAATGGAACCCGGGACCCTTCAGTCCGCAGGCCGATGCTCTATCCACTAAGCAAAACCAGCCAGGGCTCACATTTGTTTTTAAAGTAAGTTCATAATGGTTCAGAATTGTTTGAGTTTACTACAGGGGTCTCCAACCCCTGAGCTACTAAATATTTTGCATTTAAACAGAATTTTTTGATATAAGTAATAACAGATGAAAAAAGAATTGAGTTTCTTCAATTCTGTCATTTTACATGATTAAATGGAGTCCTTATCTGTGTTTAAAATTTTAAATTCAGGGACATTTGAAAGCTGCTAAAATCAATTTTAAAGAAACAGATATGTAATGTCTAAAATTTATCGTTAAATGGGACTTTTGTGAATCTTTGCCAAGCTTATCTTTTTGTTTAAGACTTTTTCTAACTATTTGTAGATATGTTGCTTTTATTTGAAAGAAACTTATAAAAATTAAAGTCAATAGAAAAAGTTCTTGCCTGGCCGTCATGGCTCAGTGGTTGAGTGTCAACCTATGAACCAGGAGGTCACGGTTCGATTCCCGGTCAGGACACATGCCCGAGTTTCAGGCTCAATCCCCAGTGTGGGGCATGTAGGAAGCAGCAGATTGATGAATCCATCTCATCATTGATTTTTCCCTCTCTCGCTCTGTCTCTCTCTCTCTCCAATCAACAGTGAGTAAAGATAAATTGACAAATCTGGCTATATTCTCTATTAAATATGGGTATATTAAGATCAATTTTGATGAAGTCATTGACAAATATGCAGAAATTAAGGATAAAAAATAAAATGTTATTCATTACTGCAACAGAACAATATGTAAATATACATTTCTTTCCCCTTTAAAAAATAAACTCATTAAAAGTATTAATCCTTTATTTTTTATTTTTCCATACTGTGATACTTATTTATTTATTCTTTGTTCTATTTTCAACAAAAGAAGATTCTCAACCCATGCATATATGACAAAGAAGCCAAGAACATATGATGGGGGAAGGGCTGTCTCTTTAATAAATGGTGTTGAGAAAATTGTACAGTCACATGCAAAAGAATGAAACTGGACCATTATCTTACACCATATACAAAAATGAACTGAAAATGGATTAAAGGCTTGAACATAAGACCTGAAACCGTAAAACTCCTAGAAGAAAACACAGATGGTAAGTTCTTTTACATTGGTCTTAGTGATGATTTTTTTGATATGACACCAAAAGCAAAGACAACAAAACAAAAGCAAAAATAAACAAATGGGACTATGTCAAACTAAAAAGCTTCTGTACAGCAAAGGAAATCATCAACAAAATGAAAAGGCAAACCTACCAATTGGGAAAAAATATTTTCAAATCATGTATATGATAATGGTCTAATAATTAAGATATATAAACAACTCATACAACTCAATATCAAAACAACAAATAATCTTATTTAAAAATGGGCAGAGGAGCCCGGCTGGCATGGAGCAGTGGTTGATTCCTGGGTTCGATTATGACCAGGTTGCGGCCTCGATCTCCAGTGTTGGGCATGTAGGAAACAACCAATCAATGATTCTCTCTCATCATTTATGTTTCTCTCTCTCTCTCTCTCTCTCTCTCTCTCTCTCTCTCTCTCTCTCTCCCTTCTTCTCTGAAATCAATAATAATAATAATAATAAAAATGGGCAGAGGACCTGGATAGACATTTTCCCAAAGAAGACAAACAGATGGCAAACAGGTACATGAAAAGGTGCTGATAATTACCAGGGAAATGCAAATCAAAATCACAATGAGATATCACTTCACACCTGTTAGAATAGCTATTATTAAAAAAACAACAAGCAACAAATGTTGGCAAGGATGTGGAGAAAAGGGAACCCTGGTGCACTGTTGAGAGGAATGAAAATTGATGCAGCCACTATGGAAAACAGTATATGGAGGTTCCTCAAAATATTAAAAATAGTACTATCATATGATCCAGAAATTCTGCTTCTGGGTATTTATCCAAATAAAATGAAACACTAATTCAAAAGGATATATGTATCCCTATGTTCACTGCAGTATTATATACCATAGCCATCATATGAAAACAACCCCAATGTCCATCAATAGATGATTGGATAAAGAAAATGTGGCATTTATATACAATGGAATATTATTCGGCCATAAAAAGAAGGAAATCTTACCATTTGTGACACAAGGGGTGGAACTTAAGTGTATTATGCTAATGGAAATAAATCAGACAGACAAAGACAAATGCCAGGTGATTTCACTTATATATGGAATCTAAATAAACAAACAAAAACCAAACTCATAAGTACAAAAAACATTTCTTTTTCAATTACAGTTTACTTTCAATATTATTATGTATTGGTTTCAGGTGTACAGCATAGTGGTTAGACAATCATATATTTTACAAAGTATTCCCCCAATATTTCCTATACCCACTTGGCACCATACATAGTTATTGCAATATTATTGATTATATTCCCTATGCTGTACTTTACATCCCCATGATTATTTTGAAATGACCAATTTGTACTTGTTAATCCCTCCACCTTATTTACCCAGTCTCCCAATACTCCTCCTCTCTGAGAACCACTGGTCTGCTCTATAGAGAACATATTGATGATAGCCAGGAGCAGGGGGTAAGGGGTGGGCAAAAAGGGCGAAGGTGGTCAAAAGGTATAAACTTTCAGTTATAAAATAAATAAGTCCCGCCCTGGCCAGTGTACCTTAGTTGGTTGGAGCATTGTTCCATGCACTGGAAGGTTGTGGATTGATTCCCCATCAATGGCACATACCTAGTTTGTGGGTGTGATCCCCAGTCAGGGCGTGCATAGGAGGCAAGGGATCACTCTCTCTCTCTCTCCCCCTCCCTCCCTCTCTTTCTTCCTCTCTAAAATCAATTAAAAGAAAAGAAATAGCCCTGGCTGGTTTGGCTCAGGGGATAGAGCATTGGACTGCGGACCGAAGGTCCCCAGGTTCGATTCCGGTCAAGGGCACATGCCTGGGTTGCAGGCTCGATCCCCAGTTGGGGGATGTGCAGGAGGCAGCCAAGCAATGATTCTCTCTCATCATTGACGTTTCTATCTCTCTCTCCCTCTCCCTTCCTCTCTGAAATCAATAAAAATATATTTTAAAAAAAAATAAAAAAATAAAAAAATAAAAAAATAAAAAAATAAAAAAATAAAAAAATAAAAAAAAATAAAAAAAAAAAAAAAAAAAAAAAAAAAAAGAAAAGAAATAAGTCCTGGGGATGTAATGTGCAGTATGGTAACTATAGTTAATAATATTGTATTGTATATTTGAAAGTTTTAAAGAAACTAGATATTAAAAGTTCTCATCACACACAAAAATATTTTTCTAACTACATGTGGTGATGAATGTTAACTAGACTTATTGTGGTAATCTACACTAATAAAAGACAAAGATGCTAACTGACCATACCTTCGCTATGCCCAGGCCACGCCCACCAGCCAATTAGAGCGACTATATGCAAATTAACCCAACCAAGATGGTGGCCCCAGCCACGGAGCTGGAGCAAGCAGGAGGCTTGGTTGCCCCAGTGATGGAGGAAGCCTAGCTTCCCGCCAGCTCTGGCCGGCTGTGGCCTCCACAAAAGGCAACAAAGTTTCAATTATAGAAGCTAAATAAATCCCAGATACCTGTTTCCAGCCAGCCTCCACTGGGAGCTTGGGTGGCTGGGGGCTGTGGCTAGCCTGCAAACAGCCATCAGTCCCTCACCCAGGATGGCCACACCCTCATGGGGTGAGGGTCCCTGCTGGGGGGCTTGACCAGCCTGGAAACAGCCATCAGCCCCTCACCCAGGCTGGCCAGGCACCCCAGCGGGGACCCCCACCCTGAAGGGGCTGTGGCCAACCTTCAAACAGCCATCAGTCACTCACCCAGGCTGGCCAGGCACCCCAGAGGGACCCCCCTCCCTGAAGGGGGTGTGGCCAGCCTGAAAACGGCCCTCAGCCCCTCACCCAGGCTGGCCAGGCACCCCAGAGGGACCCCTACCCTGATATGGGACACCCTTCAGACCAAACCAGCCGGCCCCCACCCATACACCAGGCCTTTGTCCTATATAATAAAAGGGTAATATGCAAACTGACCCTAACAGCAGAGCGACTGGGAATCACTGATCACTATGACACACACTGACCACCAGGAGGCAGACACTCAATGCAGGAGCTGCCCCTTGGTAGTCAGTGTGCTCCCACAGGGGGAGCTCTGCTCAGCCACAAGCAAGGCTGACGGCTGCCAGTACAGCGGTGGTGGTGGTGGGAGCCTCTCCTGCCTCCTCAGCAGTGCTAAGGATGTCTGACTGCAGCTAGGTCTGCTGCCCGCTGGCAAGTGGACATCCCCTGAGGGCTCCCGGGCTGCCAGAGGGATGTCTGACTGCCAGTTTAGGCCCAATCCCCCAGGGAGCGGGCCTAAGCCAGCAGGTGGACATCCCCCAAGTGGTCCCAGACTGCGAGAGGGCACAGGCCGGGCTGAGGGACCCTCCTGAGTGCACAAATTTTTGTGCACTGGGCCTCTAGTCATTTTATAATATACACAAATATTGAATCATTATGTTGTAAACCTGAAACTAATATAATGTTGTATGTCAATTATCTATATCATAAAAGGCCTGTGGTCATGACACCGTCACGGCATCACGACCAACTACCGGACTCACCAGGAGGTGCATTGATGGGTCCCACGGCAGCCGTGGCGGGCGGGACTTCTGGAGCATTGTGGGCCACCAGCAGCGTCTGCGGAGTATGTGAGGCTTCATGGGGTGGCAGACATGGCCCTGATGGCAGATTAGGCCTAGGGGGCCCTACACGCGCACGATTTAATCGTGTGCTGGGCCTCTAGTATCTCAATAAAAAAAGTTCTCACTGTCTGCACTTATTTTCTGACATTATGATTATTCATTTCATTTTCTGCTCTTTACTAAAAATAATTTTCCATCTAGAGGAAAAATGTGTTTACAAAATGAACCAATTCTGGTATCAAATACACTAAGTACACCTCTGCCCATAGGAAAAAATTTTAATATTTTAAGAATGAGCTTAAGAATGTTCTCCTTTCCTGAACACACCCTGTCTCTAAATTTATGGCACTTTACTTATTTATATTTTATTCTGAATCATTCACCAATTTGTACATCTTATAAAATACCTTAACTCCCCTACATAGACTGCAAATTGCATGTAATAGAAAATCAATGAACATAAATGTAATAAACATTCTATTCTTACTGCATCCTAACTTGACCAAAAACTAAATTTGAATTTTAGAAGGAAGGTTAAGCACTGAAATGTAATGATTCCAAATTTAGCTGATCATGTTCTGAGGCAACTCCATCCTTAATTTAAAAAAATAATTATTATAACAGTTGTACTCTCTACCTCTGTGACATGTCTCTGGTACCACCCATATCACATATCCACAATTCATCTCTGATTTAAACTGTATTTGTGTTAGGTCATTCCAATTCACTTCACACTGCCAGTCTCCTACTCAAATATTTCTGCATTCTGCCCTAAGGTCTTCTTTAGACATAATGGGAGCTTGCTCAGCCCATTTGGCAAGCGCAGCTCATATGAGTGGAGAATTTTTTTAAAATATATCTTTATTGATTTCAGAGAGGAAGGGAGAGGGAGAGAAAGATAAAAACATCAATGATGAGAGAGAATCATTGCTTGGCTGCCTCCTGCATGCCCCACACTGGGGATATTGCCCGCAAGCCGGGCATGTGCCCTTGGCCGGAATCGAAACCCAGGACCCTTCAGTCTGCAGGCCGATACTCTACCCACTGAGCCAAACTGGCTAGGGCATGAGTGGAGAATTTAACCCATATCTGAGGAACCTTTGTTAAGCTTGACATGGCTTCAATTAACTTGTTGAAAATTGTGTAACCATATATTACATGGGGATACTCAAACCTGAAGTCAGTAAATGAACTGAACTATAAGCATGGTACAGCCAAATTAGCAAAAAGCAATTGCCCTGACACATAACACATTGATTGCTCAATCTCTTGGTAAATATGGCATCATCTGCATGGAAGATCTGATTCATGAGATCTATACTGTTGGAAAATACTTCAAAGAAACCAACAACTTCTTGTGGCCCTTCAAATGATCTCTCCATACTATGGTATTTATTTATTTATTCTTTGTTCTATTTTCAACAAAAGAAGATTTGCAACCAATGCATATGTGGTCAATTAATTTATGTCAAAGGAGCCAAAAATATACAATGGAGAAAGGACAGTCTCTTTAATAAATGGTGTTGAGAAAATTGTACAGCTACATGCAAAAGAATGAAACTAGAAAAGAATGAAGAGAGAATTTACTGGCTAGTTACTCCTGTGTCCTGTCTCCCATTGTCAAAGTTTGCCCCTAAAGAGTTATGCTTTCCAGTCATTTGGCCTCTCCTGTACTTCCTGGACAAGCAAGATCTCATACTCTGTAGTATTATCCTTCAGCTGAGTCTGGACTTTATGGGAGGAGTCAGATACTTCAAGATTCAGTTGTGAAACCAGTTGGATCCATTGGAGTCTGTAGAATTGGTCATGGGGCAGTAGCTGGGGCTGAGCAAGCAGCTGAGGGCCAGTAAGACTAGTGGAAAATCATAGGCAATGCATAAAAAGTGTCAAATACACTCCTAAATCTATAATAGTGGCCTTGACAGTTCCATTTAGATGGTCTACAGGCATCTCAAGCTCAACATGACAAATATTTTCAAACATTTTTCTTACAATGTATTACATACCCATAGAAACGTTTTTTAATCCGCACCCAAGGATATGTTTATTGATTTTAGAAAGGAAGGAAGGAAGAGAGAAAGAGAGGGAAAGAAAGAAAGAGAAACATCAATGTGAGAGTGAAATATCGATTGGTTGCCTCCTGCATGCCCCTGAGTGGGGATGGAACCCGCAACCTAGGTACATGCCCTGACTGGAAATCAAACCCACAACCTCTTGGTGCATGGGAAGACACCCCAACCAACTGAGCCATACCAGCCTGGGCCACAGAAAACTTTTTTAAAAAGCTACAGGGAGAGAGAATATATTTGCAATACATAAAAGTTACAAAGGACCTATTCTAGAAAAATATATAAAAAGGTGCTTCAAATCATTAAAAAGTAGATATCTTATTTTTTGTGTATAAGATGCCCCATGTATAAGATGCCCCCCACTTTTCCAACCCAAAATTAAGAAATAAATATTTTAAACATAAAACAGAAAACATTTTTATTTAGTAATTACCTCAAGGTAATGTTTACATACTAGTACTATGATATTATGCAGCATATCACTTTATTCAACCTCATTTGCATCACTGCTCTCTTCTTCATCACTATTAGTTCCAGACATATTTCTTCAACTTCTATTGTATCACTGCTGTCTTCTGAGTCACTGCCTATATATGTGAGATCATCCTCATAAACTGGTGGCATTTTCTGAGCTAACTTTGTTCATGGTCTCATGGCCAACCCTTCTCTCCTCATGAAATTGAAGCACCATTTTGCCTTTCCTGTAAAATCAACAATGTTCATTTCGCTTGCAAACATTCTTGCCTGACATTGAATAAGCTTAGTTGATACACATAAGCCACTCAGGCACTGCTCCATAATCCAAGTCTTAAGCCTCTGCTCCAAGTTTGCCCATTTTGCTAGTTTTCCTCTTAAGGCCTTCTTTTTTTGGCATCTTAAGGAGTTGTTCTTCCTGTTTTCTCTGCTGTCTGCTCATACATTCAGTGGGAGGAGGTCCAAATTCTCTCTCTGCAGCTCTATGTCCATGCTCTTTTGCATAGCTGATTATACTCAGTTTGAATCTTGCAGAGTAAGATAATCGCTTACCGGTACTTATCTTTTTTGTTTTTTGACATCTTTATGGGCTCATACGTTCTGGTCCCTGTTGCATCTGCACACTCTCCACCTCCACCTCCAATTACGGCATCAGCTGATGTCAGTAACAATAATGCTCATGATTGGAGGAAGCCTGTTTGACAAGGTCCGAGCAACTACATACCTGCGCAGCTCCCTCCTTGGCTGACTACCATGTATAAGATGCCCCTTGATTTTCAATCTGATTTTAGAAAAAAATAGTGTCTTATACACGGAAAAATATGGTAACCCAGATGAAAAAAGAGGCAAAAGACTAACGTATTTCACAAAAAGAAAAATTCGGCCCAGGCCAGTGTTTCTAAGTGGTTAGAGCATTGGCCTTTGCACCAAAGGGTCATGGGTTTGATTCACAGTCAAGTGGTCTTGGAGTTCCAGGTTCAATCCCCAGCCCCAGTTGGGGCACATGTGGAAGGCAACCAATCGATGTGTCTCTCACATAGATGTTTCTTTCTTTCTCTTTCTCCCTCCCTTCCTTCCTCTCTCTATCTCTCCCTCTCTCCCTCTCTTCTACTCTCTCTGAAAACAAAAAAAAGTCAATGGAAAAAATATCCTCTAGTGAGAATTAACTAAAAAAAAAAAAGAAAAGAAAAATCCAATGCCCATAAATACATGAAAATAGCTCAACTTAATTAGTGATCAGGAAAATTCACTGTAAATCATAATAATAATTCCACTTGTGGATAGAATATAGTGGAAAGGATAGACCAATGTTCTCTTGCAACAACTAGAAAAAAAATGTATAAATTGTAAAAATCATATTTTAAAATATATCAGTATTCATTTAGATGAATTAAAATTTCAGCGGGAAGAGCCCTCTCCAGGTAAGCTGACAATAGCCAATTGTTTTCTTTTCTCATTATACTTGCTGATTCTAAGCACAGACAGAGGAATTGGGCTTAGCTTATTCAGAAGACTTCCTTGGGAGAAAAAGAAACAAAAAACCATTTGATAGTCACAGTGGCTGGCATAATGAATTGGAATTTAGAAGCACCTCAAATGTGTAACCAGTTTATCACATGGGGGGGTTTTCTGACAGAACAGATCAGAAAGCTGGTGAGCCTGGGCCGGGGAGGCTGAGTAAAATCTCATGGTACATAGGATACAGAGTCTCACTAAAGTGAATGGGCCTGCAATAAACACACAACAGGTTTCCCTCTCAAGAAAACTGCCAGAGCCCTGGCCGGTTTGGCTCGGTGGATAGAGCGTCGGCCTGCGGACTGAAGGGTCTCAGGTTCGATTCCAGTCAAGGGCATGTACCTTGGTTGCGGGCACATCCCCAGTGGGGGGTGTGCAGGAGGCAGCTGATCGATGTTTCTAACTCTCTATCCCTCTCCCTTCCTCTCTGTAAAAAAATCAATAAAATATATTTAAAAAAAGAAAAGAAAAATAAAACTGCCAGATTTTAAATGTACATGAGGAGAGAAACAAAAGAATTAAGTTCAAAACTTCAAAGATTCCATAGAAATTTTAGAGCTGAGGAGACAGAGACTAATCAGACTTTTAATCAAAAGCCTGGGCCCAGCTGGCATGGCTCAATGGTTGAGCGTTGATATGAACCAGGAAGTCATGGTTTGATTCCCTGTCAGGGCACATGCCTGGGTTGCTAGTTCAATCCCCACTGGGGGAGGGGAGGGGGTGTGTGCAGGAGGCAGCCAATCAGTAATTCTCTCTCATTGATGTTTCAATCTCTCTCTCCCTCTCCCTTCTTCTCTGAAATCAATAAAAATATATTTTTAAAAAAACAACAACCCTGGGATGGTTGCACTTGAGGATGGGATCTGGGCTGAAAAGATAGAGTAAAATTTATTTGTGTTTCATGGTGTTCAAACCTTTGACTAAAACTCCAGTGGTGTTTCAGACTTCTCCCAGAGAAGGTCAATACTGCAGACCTATGAAGCTTTCAATGAAAAGCTCAGAAGAGCCACCTCTAAAGAACAGGGACAAATCAGAGGTGGACAGGGCTTTACTAAAACTGCTTCTCAGCCCCACA